CGGAAGGTCCTAATGATTGTTCAAAAGGAGGTATACGGAGAATTACTTAACGAATCCAACGTTAGTCGTAAAGAAGTGAGTAATAAACGTCTGAGAGGTTTAGCACCGATAATGATTGATGGGTTACTATGCGTCGGAGGCCGCCTAATGTACTCCGAACTCCCGAGTGCGTCGAAACATCCCGTAATTTGGCCTAGTCGACATTGGGAAACCGAATTAATAATCAGACACTATCACAAGGAAGAAGGACATATAGGAACTTCGCATGTGTTAGCTGCGATCCGCAAGTACTACTGGATAGTTAAGGGCACCAGCACGGTTAAAAGAGTAATAGGAAAGTGTGAAACTTGCCGAAGGTTTACTTTGTGTCCAGGGAATCAACAGATGGCGCCACTTCCAGTTTATAGAGTGCAAAATGGTTGGTACAGTTTCTCGACGACAGGAGTAGACTACTTTGGACCTCTTCTAGTCAAGAGGGGTAGGTCACTAGAAAAAAGATATGGTTGTGTGTTTACCTGCCTGCAGACACAAGCAGTACATATTGAGATGGCATACAGTCTGAATACCGATTCATTTATAATGGCTTTAATACGTTTTATCGGAAGAAGAGGGAGACCGACAGACGTGTTTAGTGACAATGGATCAAACTTCGTGGGGGCAGTCACTGAACTAAAGAGCTTCGTGCAACAGTGGAATCATCAGAAAATTAGTAAGGAATTATCATCAAGACAAGTTCAATGGCATTTCAACCCTCCACTAGCCAGCCATAGAGGTGGAGTTTGGGAACGAATGATTAGATCTATACGAAGGCTGCTATTATTGATCACCAGGGAACAGGTGTTAACAGACGAAACCTTGGGTACATATCTGATTGAAATTGAGAGAATTCTAAACGACCGACCCCTAAACCCGGTAGTCCAGGATGCTAACGACCGACTAGCTCTATCACCAAATAGCCTACTGTTATTGAGAGAATGTGACGGAATAGCTGAGGAAGGAAGTATTAGTGACAAGTTCCACAAACGTTGGAAGCAGGTAAATTATTTAGCCAATGTATTTTGGAAAAGGTGGTTAAAAGAGTATTTGCCTTCCTTACAAACTCGTCAAAAATGGCTAAAAGAGCATCGCAATTTTCAGAAAGGAGACGTAGTTATTGTTGCCTCGGATATTACTACTCGTGGAAAATGGCCCTTAGGAATAGTAGAGGATTGTGAGACAGATAAGGACGAAAAGGTCAGAACGATAGTTGTTCGTACTACTAACGGGGTAGCGAGAAGAGACATACGAAAGGTGTGTCTCCTAGAACAGTCCAACTAGATAGGTTATATCCATATTGAAAACGGGTAGGCGTACTGCTGTAAGTCCTATTCGTTATTTCGGTGTGGATTAGGGAATGAGAGGGAACCCTAACTTGAAGTGTCAGTATACGCTTGCCTTTTTGCATGGAGGGATTTTGCGGGTCGGTGTAGAAACTTTTTTGAATGTTTTGGTTTTCGGAAAATCCCTCCATGTTTATATATTTTTGTTATGACATGACTGACTCTTTCTGTTGACATTTCGGTATTTTATTTGATTCCATTTTGAGATTTTATCATTGTATATTGTTATTCTTTGTATATTTTGTACTTATATTGAAGTTTTTATGTTTGCTTCTGAACTGTACACATGTTGTTTAAATTTGATATATAATATGGCTACAGCCATATTTTTGGATTTGATATCGTCGCAGTATACTAGCTTCACCTAGTCTTTTGAACTCGGATACTCATCAGAGTAATTTCGACTTGGAAGACGTAATAATTGTCAGGTAAACGTTTGTATTTCCATTTCTTTTATATAAATAGACCACTTTCTCCTAGAATTATTGTGTTTGGATATTCGACTGAGGGAAGGTGCGTTCGACATACGTCTATTGGAATCAAATTGAACTGCTATGGTAGAAAATCCAACTCTAATTAGGATTTAGGTAGGTATCTGCAGCAAAAAATACTAACTCTGATTTCAGAAGGATCTGATTAGAATGCAAGATTGGGCAGACGATGAGGAATTAACGTAAAACCCTTCAAACTACAAAGTTGTCCATCTGTGATATCGTACATATACGATTAAGGCGATTGGCTCTACAAGTGTTGTCGTCTGAGAAAGGTCCAAGGTTCCAGATATCCTGAGCTCGAAAGAATTACTCTGTGACAAGTGTACCGTTAGGGAAATTTTTACACCGAACGCTGAGGTGCAGTTTTGACTGATATGAAAGCATAAATTGTTTACTTAGTTTTGACATTTTACTAGGCTCCATTTAGAGTACGGCATCTCAGTGTTTCCCTCTTTCTTCTCTGCAACTTATTCATGTGTGGGCCACAAAACCATTTAGGGGACTTCAATCCATCCCACCGTGAATATGTTTTGTATTGATCTACAGCACCCGATACACATATTAGCATCCTTTAAAATGCCAAGTTGCTCAGTCTCAGAACAATACACAGAAATAAGAGATATAACACATACGATTGACCGATAGATGCCCCATGTGTTTAGTAAAGATTGCTGAGATTTTGAATAAGCTGTCGCCTGATATAGTCCCAGGAATTCCCCAAGGGTTCATTCAGAAAAAGTTAGCACATTCTTTAGGATCAATTAGCAATTTACTAATATTTTACGTTTGCTTGTTTGGCATACGTTGGCCAATATCTGGAGACATCATCTACAACCAGACGTGAAGGTACCTTAAACGAAAGCTTCTTCACCGGGTAAGAGAAAAGAGGCAATTAACTATTCACACAGGTGAAAAGGAGAGCCTCGCACAATTTGAAGGTCTAAGTGAACGATTCTACCAGTAGTTTTTATTCGGCATTCAGAAGCAGATTGTTAGTGGGACATAGATGGAATTAAAGCATGACTACTTTGCTGTGCACTGATTGGCTAATTTCCTTTCCAATCAGCGCCTGATCGAATCTTGGAGAACAGGGTAGAAGATTCTCGTATTGTTAGCTGCATGCTGATTGGTAAAATCTAATCCATTCGATCACGTGAATTCCTATCCAGAAGCTTTCTCATGAAAATGCTATAAATAGACTAACGTTGTATCTATTTTCGCCTTCTTTGCCTTCTTGCCTTCGCCATCACCTCTGGCTTCTTATTCCTTGCTATTTTGGAATATAATCTTTTCTTGTTCAACCATGTTTTGATTCTTGGGAACTTGTCCAGTGTTTTGTGGTCAGAGAATACTAAGCAATAGGATTAAGCTAGAAAATATTCAAGCAACCGTTACAACACAGATACAATGCCAAGTTTCAGAGTGATAGGAAACACTTCCAGATGAAGCTAGCGGCCAAAACGCAGGCAAAACTAATATATCTGTTTAGATTTGTGGCTAAAAGACAACTTATTAAATAGAGTATCTGTGCCCTCAAAGGTTCAAATGGCGAAGACCTTACCAGCCTACAGATAGATAAGATCTTAAACACCAACTTCACTAATCACTTACACCAGGTACCCAGGAGTTCCGTATATTACTGAAACCTAGTACAAGCTGATAGCCTATGAATATCCTACTTACTCCTGGCTTAGTGCTAGGAAAACTTAAATCCCTACTCCTAGGAAAGTCGACGGGGTGTGACAATATTTGCCCCATGGTCTTGGAAGTGTGTGCAGAAACCTTCAGTTCACCTGTTAGGCATTAACTGGAGTCAAACCAACTCCTTGCTGAATCGAGAAAAGTTGCTCTCTCTAGTCCTTAGAGGAGGATAAATGAAGGATCCAGCCTGTTACAGGCCAGTCGCGTAACAACCGATACTGGCGAAGGTAGTGGAAGTACTGCTGAATATGCAAAGAGATAGGAACGAAATCTTCCATGAAGCTCAACATGGGTTAACGAAAAACAGGTTACGTACTTATAATCTTTTAGCATGGGATTTCTGGACAACATTCTTGGACCGGAAAACACAGATTCATATGATATTCCTTGGCTTCGAGAAGGCTTTCGATAAGGTACCTCACTAACTCTGAAATGCGAAGGTTGCGAAGATGGGCTTCACTGATCTACTTCCATTTTAGCTCACAAGCTACCTTGAGAAGAGCAAGTTTCTTACCAAGGTAAACAGAGTTCGTGCGAGCTGGCGAGTCTCAACATAGTAAGTTTCACTTGGGACCACCTTAGGACCTTTCCAATTCCTGATATTCATTAACGACCTGTTAGATAAAATGAACTCAGCGGCATCAATTTATGCAGACGATGCAAAGATCTGGAGATCCATAAGAAGCGAAGAGGATTCAACTTAACTTCAAAAAGACCTTACATCAATTGAGGAATGGACAGCGGGAAACGCGTTAAAACTAAACCAGTTGAAATGTCACACAATGAACATTTTTCCCAACGTGAAAATGCTATCACAACAGAGGTGGCCATTGCCCCCTTAGGGGATAGCTTTAAGAAGAGGCCTGATAAAAACGTACTCATATATGGATTATCATCTCCCTCCTGAGCTAGTTGTGCCTGATGCAAGTCACGACACTTGCTAGTTATTATTATTGCCACTCCCCTAAATCACTGAATTAATCTTTCCCGCTTATTATCTCTATTTCCTCTCCCTTGCTTACACTTCTGTCCGCTGGCACGATTTCGACTACCAATTATTTAACTTTTTTACTAACTTATCCATATAATTCCAATATCTTCGTATTGGCATTGGAGTTTTACACATATTATTCTCCACAAAATGATAATTTAAAGTCTGCTGGTATCTAGAAACCCTACTGAACTGAAACGATTGCACTGATTCGAATCAAGGGACATGCAAATTCATAAATGATTGCTTACTGACTAGAATTAGTGCAGTCGGATGACTAGATTTCCACTCATGGGACACTATCAAATGCCTGGAACCGTACCGAAAGGACAAGAATCGAGCACAGAGAAGTTAACCGTGAAAAAAAATCGTGAAAAAATATTGGATATTGGAAGGTCGCGTTGCCACTGGCTCTAGGTTGTTGAAAAATTTCAAATGCGGGTCACAGTGTTCCTCAGAATAAAGCCATCATCCCATGTCGACGTAAAAAGACACCTATACTTGGAGGACGATCAGGTAATAAAAGGACTCGTATCGATAACTCTGTTTTTAAACAACTTTTATTGCCCAATATCTCAAATTTGGATAAAATTTAATCAATTTTGTGTACGTTTTGGGTAAAATTTTATAGTAAAATCTGAAGAAATGTAACCGAAATCTTTTGAGATTCTCCAATTATCAGCGGAGTTGCGAGAGTATGAATGGTCTTGGGGAAAACCTCTAAATCTCCAAGAATTTCTCCAAAGTTGGGAGATTGGGTGTCTTCCCTCAAACTAGTAACTTTGGGATAAAATTGAAAATATTTGAGTGAATTTTTGAACGATAAAGTAAGCAGCCCCATATTTTCCCAAGCATCGAATTTCTATCCAGAATCTACCCGAAACCTTTTAGGCTGTAGTTTTTCTCAACATTTTCAAAGGAAATGTACCGAAATTTATCGTTTTTTCTCAAAGTTTGGAGCTTTGGGGTCTCTCATTTCTAGATTTATAGAACAAAGCTATGTCAAAAGCCTCCTGAATAGATTTTTGTAAGCTAAATACAATAAGAAAATGGGTTGAAAATGTGATATATTCAAATGAATCGACTAAAATCCACTGACACTCCCAAAATATCCCATCCATCAGAGACAACTAAATGAATGTTTCAGGCTTTTTTAAATTAATGAAATCGAATAAGGATTTTTGCCTTATAGTTTGCTTAAGTTGAACTCAACTGAATCATAACTTTAGTAATTTAGCGAATGAACACATGTGACTCATTCAGATGCTGAATAAGATAGGCTTCCCAGTTTATACGATATTCAGATAGTAAGTGGTATCATGGTTTTATTTCTCTATCTATTTGGCAAGTCTTCGAACATGTAATAGACAATGGATATTCTTTTTATGAGAAAATGAGTATGTCTAGAAAAAGGACTAAAACGTAAATTTTTTCCTTAAGGAAGCTCGCTTAGTTGCTTAGACGTAAATTATGACCCTTGGAAAGACAAATAAGCCAAGTTATTACACTCATGTGGTTTGATTCTTGATGTAAAAGATCTCTGATTTTGATTCATATATTATTGAGGTGATTTCTGCTTCGCTCAATGCTGTTTCTGTAACTACTTCACTACTACTCATTTCATTTAATTCAGCCACAACCAAGTAGATGTTCTCGATTACTCGTGTAATGGTCAGACAAACAGAATCGCTGCATAGTGACTGGAGTCTATCCCCACCCTATTCAAGCCTGTCCCGCCATAATTAACAGATGTACGGTATATTATTACTCGTCGTCGTGATCTTCGGGCTGAACAATATCTCTCCGTTTGCTGCAGATTATCACAGGTGACCACTTCGCTCCTTTAGAGTTTTTTGGCCTATTTTAGGACCCATATCTCCTTTACTATAGAAACATTATTACATAGGTACTTATTATCTACCAAGACTATGTATCCTTACCTATATACATCCTACTTCTTGAAATACTTGTATCATTTGATCATGCAAAATCAACAGCTTTTGTTGGCGTAGATATTAAGACATATTTCTTCCTTGAAATTCATTTCTAGTGCCTGCTAGTGTCTTCGTATTTTTGTGTAATCATATGTCTTATCTCGTATAGGCATCACCAACTCATTAACATTTGTTTTGTTTCATTTACGACAAGTATTTTAACCGCTATATATTATTCATGCATCTGTAAAACTACTATACTTCAAAATTTTGGGGTTGACAAATTTTGCTGATTAAAAGCCGAAAAAGTCACATTTTGAAAACTGATATCTGGAATGATCTGTTGGTTCTTCATAGAAATATTTTATCAAGTTGAGTCTCTACGGCGAACACAAAACCCCAAACCTATTTGTAGTGGCTGTTGTGATTATGAGGCTGGCACAAATATCAGTGCTCCATTAACTAAAACCATAGAAATTTAGATTAAATTATCTTTTTTTATAGTAGTTTGGTGTTACTGTAGGACTATGGAGTACAGTTACTCATTATTATATTGAAGGGTACCGCAATTGTTGAGTATTGGTCACAAATGTTTTAGCATTTGTTTTCATGTATCATCATTGAAGACATCAAAGTAGTTTATTTGAATAGATTGATACACTTTTCTCATCGTTGCTGTACACTGCTTTCCGTTTCAGTGATATTTCAATGCATGAGAACGAAAAAGTATAGTGGGAGTAGAGCTGCCTGTTGAATTGTAGTTCAAAATGCAGAGAACAATTATAAATTGTGCGAAGGGTTTTAGGAAAAGAAAACCAATTTAACTGTGAACAAACAAAGGTCACGTTTGAAAATACTGACATTTACCTATTTGTTGAGTAGAAACTTGTGAACTTTGCCTTTGTTTCTATTCTTTTATAAGAGTTAGGGATTTGAATAACGGCCTGAATTGGAGTAGTTAGATTAATGCAATCTGTTATTCGAACTTTCACTGCTCTATATTTAACATTCTGACGATTCCCTTATGCAACTGATCGAACTAATTATTTTTTTCAAACAATAGATAATGTAATAAACGCAACCAGAATCAAATCCTGGCCATAACAACCGTTTGTTGTTTGGTAATTTTTTCTTAATTCAGCAAATTCCATAAAACTTGAAAGATAAAATATATTGCTTCAATTATGTACTTTTTGGAAAATCGAAAGGGCACTTATATTCACGTATTTCTATAGTATTTCCGGTATGCTACGCGTCTGGATGTGGTTTTTCGAAGGTTTTGGATACTTAATGATGATTTGATTCTCTTAAAAATGAGCATTATTGTTGTCAGATGCCTAGAAAAGGCTTATAGATAAAACCATCTAACTCATGTTTCATAGCAAGGTATGCTATAACAACTGGCAATGTATAAACACGTAAGTGAAGCAAGCAAAAAGATGAATACTCTCAAAAGTAAACCTTAAATACGAAATGGATGAAAATCGGAAAACAGAACAATTAAACGGCTGACTGAATTGTATTCTCAATAAAGTAAAACTATCAAATTTATACAGAATATTCAACTGGTGTGACTTATTCTCAAATAAATTATTCAATTTGATTTTGACCAATTTAGTTTCTCGTGCTGTTATGGGTATGAGGGCGGTTGTCACTTCCCGGCTGCCCACACCGTGGAAGGGTGCATTTTGTGGAACCTGAAAAGGATGATAGATTAGTGTTGGTCTTGGATACCTGGAAGCGTGACCGCAGAGCCCAAGGGACAACTGCTTGAGGCCGGCCACGCACAGCCAATTTATAAAAGGTTTTTTGAGTGTTAGCTCCTCTCTTAAAAGCACTTAGTGGGCACCCGTACCGCCGGAGACGGAAATCCGTGAGGTAGGGTGAGGCAAGACATTTAAGGGTTAATAACACCCATTTTCTAGCATTCTTATTAATTCTAAGTACTCTTTAATTGTATAAGCATATTCCTTGAATAATGATAATAATTTTAACTAAACATTACACTGTATACTCCTGTATACTGAACAAATCAGTTCGATAGAACAGTTAAACGGAAGTATTATTTTCTATCTCCAGAGGTTAGATATAATTCCATAGATAAAAACCGTGACTGGGTCTCTGGAATGAAGCATTTTTAGTCATTGTACTTGTGGAGTTAGCCGTTTCTCTATTTTATCACGTATTTTACTTACCGTTATAAACGACTATTTGGGCTTGTAGTTGTCCGAACCAAAGTAACGAATAAAATTAACGAAGTTAATGATTATGGAGTTATAAATGTTATACGACCCCCAAAAACCCAGTTTAATTTCACTTGGATCGTATATAAATTCAGTCATAACTGAGCTTTTGCAAAAATTTTACCAGAACTATTTTTATAGATTAGCTTAAGAACAGATTAGATCAGTTCATGGTCTCAATGAAATTCAATGATCAACATAACCCCATACTCAACCATGTGCTTACTAGTGAGTAGCTTCGATATGAAATGTTCGAAACTGTAACGAGAAACCACGATCAATGGATGGTTGCACAATATATGAATTGATTAAAGTTAGACTTGCCAACAACTGAGTTTTGGTACGGTGGTCTAGGGTTAAATCATTTAGTGACGACACTGAGGATCGTGGCACAACCTTCTGTAGAGAGGAAGTGGATGCGCTCTCCTATGGTCTCATACTGAGATAAAATATCTCTTCGATGCTTCTAGGTTTTACATCGTTGAGTGAATTCGATTTGTGATCTCAACAACAAGTGATTATTATCATAGGTATCTTCTCTCTTACTAGTTACAAAATGTCTAGGCGAATCAAAGATTTCAATACTGTTTTACTCTGGTATTCACGAAATAACTGACATTTTCATATTGTAGCTCAGTCTCTTAAATTTTATCATAAATAAGCTTCTCTAGGCGTTAGAATCTCCAATACAATGTTAAACAGAAAAGCCAATACTTATATTTTCTTGAATTAGGATATTTTAAAATGGCAATTTGACATGAAGCATATATTTCCAGAAAAAACTTTTGTCGATCATTTCTAAAATTCAAAAACAGCTTTTAGAAAACTATATTTTTCCGTCATTTTACTGATACACAGAAATTTTTACACAAAAAACCTTTGATCAAGAACTTTATGTCTTAAGAGGAATTTTAAAGCTGGAGATCAAAAAGTAAGGGTTTGGATAGTAGCAAGCAAAAGTGATGAGGACATATTGTTTACATACTGTAAATAAGTTCTGGAGAATTACTATAGATTCTTGTCTAATGTTTGTTAGCTGAAACAAACCTTATAGCACAACTTTAATCATTTTTGTCGAATTTTCTAGAGGACGATCGAAAGAGCGCATTGAACACGTTTTTTTTTAAAATCTTTGGATCACTTAAAATCAGCGTTAACAATTTTAGGCTACTCATGAGTAGTTTAACTTTTAGGATAAATAATCTGTGGTTTTTCTAATGATTGTTCAACCACTGTAAAATGATCGAGACAATCAATTAAAACTGAATTCTGTCAATAGGTTAGTAGCTGATAACGACTGGACAAAGTCTACCGAAACCATTCGTTTTTCAAGCTAAGTAATGATAAAATGACATCCATAAGATGCATATTTGAAAGCGATGGTCATTTCGACAACCGTAATAATTCGAAGCCATTGTAGCTGATCAAATAATCAGATAAAACGGTTTAAATGTTTAAATCCCAGTGTCATCATTAAAGTTATTTGAAAGAAAATCGATAAGATGAGAATAATATCATATCACAATAATAGGCACAAAAATAGGTAGAATAGTAGAGCTTTTATCAAAAAATACTCTAATTATCTCGCATGTTAGTACTAATAAATATACCGCATTACTTTAAACCACCAGTAACCAGTACCTAAATTGAACAAGTACTTCATGTGCTTGTTCACCATGTCATTACAGTACAGATAGTTTTTCTTCAATAATTATTTATGATTTGAGTGTTTAAAAATATAGCTATGAAATATAGCATAATGTAATAGTTTATGCAAATTTTTGATAATTTTCAAATCAAAAACACACTAAATCCAAAAAAGTAAATAAACTGTTTCACTGACTGTAGAAACATGTTGTTTTTCAAATGGATTTATTGTATCTGATGATGGTTACTCAGTGATACTGAATGACTGACATTGAACAATTTCTGATAATGATTCTGAGAATAACAATCGTGGTCATTTTATTCAGTCATGATATATATATATATATATATATATACTCATATATAAAAGTGGTAAATGAAATCAGATTATAAATATGTTCTGCTAATGCAAATAAGAAAGCTTTCATTTCAGGGAGTAGATTTTAGATTGGTTAGCACTAGTTAAATGATATTAACCTTAGTGCATAACATGAGAATCTGATTGTTTTGAAATTTTCGGATGCACGTTTTGGAGTTTTATCAAACATAAGGACAGTCTAACCAGACGTTTCTACTTTTTCACCAATGATCCTAAATTTAAAGAAGACTAGGTGGTTTTTATTACAGATATTTCGAATTGATTAAAATTATACACAAGTGGTATTTCCTTGAATATATTTGACTTCTCACTAACTTTTTAACTTGTAAAATAAAATTACTAGATACACTGATTATTAAAACAACTTATAAACAACTGTTAAGTATCATGAGACATATTAAAAGGGAAATATGTATGAGACTGAATGATTTCTTAGACCAAGACAACAGCTTTTAGACGACGTAGACGGAATCAATGATCAGTTGTTGACTTACTGTCTGTCACAAATCTCCCGATTTTATTCGCCACTAATTGTTTATTTTTAGACAATTATGAAGATGATGAAAAGATCTGCCTTTAAGGAACACAGCTATTGTGATGTTTCTAAATTAGTTTTTCTTTTAAGATTGATTATTTCTTATACATGGATTCTACATCATCTTAAACATTGCAGAAAATTACTGAATTATTGTAGTAAAAAGTTTAAAATAATTTCCATCATCATTTAACTTAGGCCAAAACTGGTAATTCAAAAGTCACTGAATTTACACATACTGCTTTACTAAATAACAAACATTGTCATGACGAATAATCTTTTAAATAATAAGTTAATTGAATTAGCAATAAAAATACGAAACATATCAGCTAAAGGATTTCAGAGTTGAAAAACAATACACTCATGGGTAAACGATTGAAGTTTATTGTGAGATTATCAAAATTGGAGAATATACTTTATTTAGTTTTTTTCGGTATTATTTAATGGCGAAGTATTTACCATAAGGCTTGAAGGTACTGTGCGCTAAATTTCATATCGATCTGCTCATTATCTGCTACTGATAAGTCCTGAAATAGGATGAAACTCCTAATGCTCAACAGTTCTTTGTTTAACATTAATCAATACTTATATGTTAGTCTTTATCTCCTAAACAAATTATTGAATTTAGAGCTAATTGTGTAATCTACTTCAATTTATGATGATACATCATATTTAGTGTATAATTTCAATGTTGTTTTTTTTCAGTAATAAAGAAAACAGATGTACATTCAACTAATCAATTATGTGCTTTTCTATTACCTTTTTTTTCTCTTCACATAATAGACTGTGCGCATTGACAATGATAAACTTAAAACCATTGTACCTGTTAATAATCAAATAATGGCTATGAATTATAAATTTGATAGAATTTTCTATCATAATTCACAAGAAGAAATTTATCATGTGACAGCAAGTAGTTTAATTAAAGATGCTTTGATTGGAATCAATGGTAAATTTATTTCACATGTTACCCTTTTCAATATAGTGATTGTATTTGTTGTTGATATTTACTTATGTGAAAAGTTCTTCACGTCTACAATCCTATATTCATATTCATTATTGATTTTAATTGCAGTGACAACTTGTGTTCTGGTTAGAAAACTATGAAATTTACTTGTTCTTATAACTCCAGTGGTTACTAATGCACAATTATTGTTTTTGAGAGTTATGTCAACAGTGTATAGTTAATAGTGTTGTTTATATGATGATGTTTATGATTTCTATTTAAAGACAAGAAAATCTCTTTTGTAAAGATTTGTTTCCATATTTTCGCTCATTGTTCAATGTCACAACATTATTGTTCATTCGGTATATTTGATTTACATAAACACTTGTATTATTATCATTTCTCAGCCAATATGATATCCAATGCAGATTTTAATAGTCAGCTATATTCATAGTTTGTCAGACAAGGCTTTCTCACAAATTTCAAATGTTAATCCTTCTTTCTTGTTATTACAAGGGTGCAGTACACACTAATTATGCTCACAGGAAATCGGTCTCAAAACCTAAATTTTTCTTGTCTTGTATGATACCATTAAGATACCGGGTAGGAAGCAAATAATTTATATGAACAACTTCACTTAACATGTTGTTGCTGATTGTTTTCAGCCTAATTTCCTACTTAGTCATCTCTACAGATGCTTGACTTTTGTCATGAATTTTGATAGATCCATATTGAAACAGATCATTGCAATGATCAGATATAACTTCCCGAGTCGAAACCACATTTTTTTCGTTCATGTTTATCAATAAAATCGACTATTTTTTATCAGTTCATCTATTATTATCTTTCTAAAGATATCGTGACTGAAATTAAAACATCGTTTTAATAAATTTTAATTAAACTGTATACTACTGTGCTTGAAATGTTTTATTCACAAAATGAAACATTCTTAATATTTTATCTTTAGGAACGATATTCTGTTACGGACAAATAGGAGCTGGTAAAACATATACAATGAATGGTTTATCACAAACTTATAACGATCGTGGAATTATACCACGAAGTCTTGGTCATTTATTTGAAGAAATACAGAAAAGATCAACACTTTCTATTACTGTGAAGTAAATAACTTTTCATCGGTGTTTTTGTTTTATATATAAGCTTGTTCATCTTTCTATTGTAGCAACCGTCTTTACACAATTGACATCGTAAACTGATCTCAGTTAAACAGCTATTGAAAACCAGAGGGCATGGAGTAGGTGTTTAGCTCTGGTGTGAGTATCTTCAGTAGTGAACATCCATAACCCAATCTGTGATCGAATCCAGGATCTTAGGTTCTCATGAATAGCATCTTACCTTTAAGCCATTTGGTCACTGTTGGGGATGTTATATCCTCAAAGCTCGCTTGATAAATGCCTTACTTTGGTTTTCACGTTTGCCAGCATGGGCTGATCAGTTGACCTGGAGATTTCATTTCCCACCAGGAAAATCCGTGGCTGTGATCGGTTGCTGTGTATTTTAGTGTGCTATTTTCATAACTGTCCCAAGGACGTTTCTATGATGTATAAGTAAACGAGAGTTGTATGCTTGATTGTACTGCGATTGCTGGGTGTTTGTAGAATATACTTTCTACGCTTACCAAGACTTCTGTTTTGCAGTTTGAGATTCAAGATAGCCTATCTGGACGCTGGTAATTGTCTCGTTCGCGTTTATCGACTAAGGTAAACTCGTAATAGCCTCAAGCATACTTAGTGACGAACATAACAGTCACCATGTTAAAATTCATTCAGTTAATGATATTGTGCAATCATATTCCAAAGTAATTGGTGGGTAACTGTTTAATACCCTATGATTAACTCTACTGGTCATGATTCCTCTCTATAGATCTTCGAATGACCACTCGAAACAAGTTACTCGTTCACTTCTTTAAGACAGCCTATTTTATTGATTGGCTGACATTTGATCAATCACTTATCAAGAGTACAAGTCTAGTATCTAACTGTTTTTTGTCCATCTTAAAAATTCCTATGCGTAAATTTTTTTATTCCAGTCATCTGGTAATAAGACCGTGACATATAAGATTTCATGCTTTATGACATTTATGTAAATGACTTTTTTCGCAACTTGACATTTTAAGTGCAGTTTAAAAAAAAAAAATATAAACTGTTTATTGCATAAGAATTTTCAAAAAAATAACTTTAATGATGAGAGACTATATAGTAACATCTTCATGTTATTTTATAAACTCTGGTTAGTAGTAGTACATTTGAATACCTGTAGAGTAGAAAGAAAAATGAATTCTATCGAAAAAGGAATAATGTAAGGTAGAAGAGATGGTAGATAGATGTCGACACATATTTAACAGATTTTACATTTTGAAAGTTCAAGTAATTTCAAATTCAGAAAAGAAACTGAAACATTGTTGTTTGTAATTTTTGATTAATATAATTCTTACAATATTTAAATGACATCAGAACATGAACATTTATCTTCTGCTAATTATATGACATCGTACAGCTGCACTTTCACTAACTTGATCAACTTAATATCGCAAATATTCTTTGGAATGTGAACAGAAATATGACTATCACGTGACTAGTAATCTTTCATTTACATCTTGATCGTTATCCATTCATGTTGATAAGAATGAACCAGAATTTTCTGGTGATAACCAGCCGCAGAGAGAATCATTTGAATAATGTGTCTAAAATGCTTACTAATATAACTATTCTACGCTGAAATCACAGCATTAAGTAAGCTTCAAACCTATGTCATGATGTATCAGTTACTCTTATACACATATCAACAAGTTTTGAAGTACAAACATTCTCACTAATCTGTTACTTTATAAATACTTGTCATTCGTCTATGTTATAAACTGACTAAAGTTAAATGTATGGATTATTAGATTTTTGAGTTAGCAACTCACAGTATCATAACTAACAGAAAGCTTAATGGTTTGAAGTTTAAGTTGGGTAATATAGTAAACTTGTAAAAATGCTTAATGAGTGCCCTTTGATTTTTGGTGGTTTATTAAGTGATGTCATTTCTTAAAACCCGATACTTTTGAATTTATAAGAAAACACAATGAAACTGCAAAAATTATTTACTAGTCATAGTGATATATATTTTATTTATTAAAATCTATAATTATTAGTACAAATGGATACTGAAATTTTATGTGCCTCAAAAATCACTGAATTTGTGTATGGGCTGAGATACTACCAAAGTAGGTGTTTTTAGAGAGAACCATATTATTCGTCATTTAAAACTGTGGAGTACTTTAAAACTGTTTTATTGTAGTATATGAATACTCAGGAGTGCTCATCCTAGACTTCAACAGTGATCGAAGCAGGAATTTTCAGATTTCAGTAGGATATAAGTATATGAACTTTCAACTTCATTGGCTTCACCTGCCATCAGTTAGACTGAACTCTACAGAGCCTTTCAAAAAAAACTATAGTCGAGTATTTACCAGCGAATTGCTTTGATTTAAAGTTCTAGTAAGGTGTGGTGAGTAAAGATTGTCCATTCCAAGTGTGAGAGGATAGTACAACTGGATCCTCGTACTAAATTGTAAGTTGGTCAATGCTGAAAATCTACCATCGGAAGCCGACTCAATGATCTAATGATGATGGGCTAACCACCTGATTTGATGGTTTTTAACGACGAGTGCTTAATGCTGAAGAGTTTGCTATTAGTATGCAACAACGGTCTGGCGCCTCCCGGTTTTTGACAGTCCCATGATCAATATCCATACGCGAAGAATATCATTTATAAGTTAAATACCCTACACAAAGCATTTGTAATATATATATATATACACCGGTTTTCTTAAATATTTTCACCATTCAGATTCAAAGTGTAAAGAAGATCTTCATCAATAGATTTCTTGATGAATACTTATAAACCACTTAAATAAAAATTATAGCATATTTTTACACTTAAAATTGAAATGTTATGAAGTTTTTCATTCAGTTTAACAAGCTTATCTTATTTTTGCTTTAGGCTGTCTTATATTGAAATATACAATGAACAAATTATTGATTTATTAACTAACATATCATCGAACAAAACAACAACACTTCAACAACCTTCTTTTGATTCTCTACAAATTGCTGAATCAAATGATCAAGTTTATGTTAAAGGATTAAATTGTTTAACTGTGAATAATTTAGAAAAAGCATTAACTATATTGTTCGAGGTAAGTATTTTTACTAAGCATCGTCTAATCCTTTATTTTCTTAAAACTACAAACACTTCTCATAACTGAAAATGAAAATGATATAGCTTGGGAGCTTGTATTTCGTGTCATAATAATATTTAAATTGCAGTTTGTGAAATTTTTTCGTTAAGTTAATGAATATCTATTATGATTATTTCTGTAATGGCTGTAGTTACAATCGAAATTATTGATGTTTAGTACTTCTTGGATATGAAGTTCATAGGAAATATGATGTGTGCCGAAACTTGGAATATTTCTCACTTTGATCTAAATAATGAATTTCTTAAAACAGTCAGTTGGACATTGTTACTTTGTAGTGACTAGTTTATTTTTAACGCTAAATAATTGATCTTTTTCTCACTTACATCAGAAAATTTTAGGATCGATCATATAAATGAAGAATATTCTTTTCAATATATTCTCATCGGCTTCTACCAATTATATATCCAAAATTAATAATGCGAAAATTGGCCAGGTTTCAGGCAAAATAGATCGTTTCAAATTAAAGTCTACGGGAAGTTAAGATTATTTGTGAAATAAAATGAAATTGTTAATGTTGAGATGAAAGTTAAATAAGTTTATACATTAAATAAAATTATGACATCAATGGTCAGAATAAATTTAGGTCAGATAGTGCGAGAGAAGTAATAATACAATCAGGGGATTCAAATCTTTCAGAAGACCAAGGTCACGAGTAACAATACAAATACCCTGATCTTTCTGTACATAAACTAACCTTGGAATAAAGCGCTGATATTGCTATTCGCACCTTTTCTCTTATGTTTAAGTTGCAGTATAGATTTAGTCTGTGATTATTAGAAGCGGTTAGTGAATTCAGATCTTGCGTTCATTTAGCAGACCGATCAATTTATTTATTGAACTACCTTATTAAATGGTGTTCTTGTCAATTATATTTTGCATACCATAATACTTTATAGAAAGAGAATGCACCAGAAATTAACATAAGCAATAAATTAATAGTTAAAATGAGTTATTCTATTTGATATATAAGTATCATTATAAAAAGTGTGTATACTAATTAACATTACATTTTTAGTATGCAGTTAGACTTTTTCAATGTTTGTTAAATATTGATATTCAATAAATAATGATGTAAATATTATTTTAAACATAATTGTGTATATTTCTCTGCACTTGAGGAATATAATTTCCATCATAAACTAATTTTAGAAGACGAAAAAGTATCATTAATAATCGAAATGCAAAATTAACAAAACATATACCACAAAGAAATATTTCCATATTTTTTAAATCAAGAGCTAATCTTAGGTAGATCACCATTGAAAAAGTAGAAGTATGGGATAGCCGTTTCGTTCTACTACGGGATTCTTCATTAGTGCACATCCGTGATCCCGAATTGAAGAATCGAACCTATGACATTCTGTCTCGTGAACGGACACTTAACTTCTCGACAACTGATCAATCGTCTAATGCTGTACATATTTAACTTCAATGAGTTGACAGTATTACGCATCTCACATCCATTTTCTTCAGTGGGTACTCAACCACAATCATTTCATAATTTTTCCCAATTCATACTAATGTGTAATCAAGATCATTTTCAAACTATAGAAATAATTGAGGCTGCAATTCCTCACTGAATATTTTCTTGAGTGTATTCTAATCATAAAAATTTTCATCTAAGTTCGAATGTATAGTTTTTACATTAGTTGGGTGCCGAAATAGTGTGTACGACATTAAAGCGAAAAATTATATTTGTAAGTTTCAGCGATTGAATTTTAAGTGGATCTACCGTTACGCCTGGCAATCTGGTCCAAGCTTTCTCAAGGAAATACAATCAAACATCCAAATTATTGAATACAAGATAAACCGATTATTTGCAATCTTAGCACACTTTTCACACCAAGTCCATTATACTCACTACAGTCAATACCACGTTCTGCATTGCCTACATGACTGGATGGTTTGTCTAGCTTACAGATAACTGTTTTGAAACTGAATATAAAAACGGCATAATTTACTGTCATTTGTTAAGAAAAAGAAAATATTGATGAGTTTACATTGAGAAAGACAATTGTTATTCTCAAAATTATCACTGTTTACGTGATAGATTTTATCTGCTGAATTATGTGTTTTTTGTAGTAAACATAAATAATCCTTGTGTTTGTGGTTATAGAGAAATTTCTCCTTTGCTTATTTATAATCTCTTTTAGTATGTTGAATTAAAATGTTCATTTCAGCTTTCGTTGAATATCACCATTTTTTATTTACAGGGAGAATTGAATCGTACTGTTGCATCACATTCCTTAAATCGTTTCTCATCACGTGCTCATGCTGTATTCACAATCTATCTGACGATCATTGATCCAATGGACAGTGATCGATGTACCAAATACAGTAAAATTCACTATGTGGATTTAGCCGGGTCAGACAGTTCGAAGGAAACACAGGTCTCATACCATATTCATTTATGTGTGTGTGTGTTAATTTTCGGTTTTATTATGTAAATAAAACGTTAAATGAAGTTTCACAACTGTTTAGCTTGTAAAATTAGGTACAGAGAGAGAGAGCAATAATGCTGTTGATAATTCAGTAGTTTAGAGTACAAACACAAAATATGACTTATGTAACTATTTCATCAATTTTGTCGGTTACCCAACACACTACAAGAGAAAATAGACTTATTCATAAATTTATACCAAAATATTTATTGGCTGAATGTTAAAATAATTCGTTTATTCAGAGCTGCATATACATTCCAAAGACTCCGAATAACAGGAAGTAGAAGTATTTGTTTGTCACGTGAATTGAGATATTTATGTTGTTCAACGGTTTTAAAATACAAACATCAACATCATTTAAAAAATATACTTAAAAGAGTTTACAAAGATTGCGACAATTATAAATACCGCCTTTAGCTCATAGTTTTGTTTGGTTACTAGAACGACTAATATAGAAACCATGAATGATAGTTGTGGATTACTCAGCAGATGATTTTAATAAAGCCTGGCTCATTCTTTCACCGGTAAATACTTCTTAAGACGACGTTATAATGATGTTGTAAGTGTATAACCACGATAAGTTTTATTGACATGACCTCTGCATTTTATGGTGGTGAAATTCATATTTACGCACTTAGGCCTGTTATACTCCATGGTTTTCATATCCGTCACAGTTATAAGGCTCAGAACTTGTTACTAAAGACCTATTTTGATTTCACTGAGCTTGTTCGAATCTTGGAGTAAGACTGTATTAAACTTTTTGTAATATTGCTTGCTCAGTCGGCCAGTACTTCTTTAACTTCAGTTCCATCTCAGCTATCACCAGGTAGGGATCTGAAGCTAAGTCAGAACTTCTCTTTGTTCTTACATCTTTTACGGACCTTCTGAATCTTATGCTTATAAAGATATGATTGGCCTAGCTTTCTGCAATGTAAAACTGATTTAGCTTTTAGTATACGCTCGTAAGGAAAAAGCATGCTGCCTATTAGTAGATTGTCGAAAACGCATAAATTAACCAGTCTCATTATTTGCATTCCTTTCCCCTAGTCCATGTCATCCTATGATATTCTATGATTCATATCCGGTGTTATACATTTCAACTTTGGCATCCAGATCTCCCATCAGGGTGGTTAAACTGCTTCCTTGACATTTATCTACCATTCACTATAGCTTCTCATAGGGCAGATCTTTATAATCTCCTCTTTTATTACTGTTGGGCGCATAGCACCAAGTGATATCTGTTTTAACCTTTTGATTCTTTGTTTTGATCCTGGGTCCATGAGATTCCCTCTCTATAAGTGATTTGAGAGCTAGTTTGGACAGCATTAGTGCAACTTCTTGCGTGTACGGGGCATTTTGTTCTTCCTGATCAGAATACAACAATAACTTATCCAAAGATATTTTTTTCTGTCCAACTTACTTCCAAAGGGTCTTGGTCACTTCAAATACTCCTAGTTTGTATCTTCTCAATTCCACGCTACCTGAATGGTCATCCCGATCTTTCACATTCCGCGGACATTCTATGTACATATACCCATTGTTGTTCTAATTGTCAGAAGAAGGTATCAATCTCTTGGCTTCCGAAAAAAAAATGGTTTTCACTGTTAGGCATCATATTCTTCTGAACGAAGACCCTTCAACATCCAGAGGAGATTTTAAACAGTTATAGCGATTTTTTCTGGTTAAGCATTTTGTTTACTGCGAGGTAACGTTGCTAACCGATCATCCAACTTTCCCGATTCGGACTTTCAGATATTCATAAGAATTTCACTTATATTATAGCTTAATAATCAAATATGTATTTATGTGCTACTTCTTTTATTACACAACTGTTTATAACTGGGCTAGTAATAATTGTTAGGATTTATTGTTTATAGCTTATTAAATGAGTTCTGTGACTCAGCTTCTGTACACTTTATGTGCTTGATTAATCAGGACACGTCGGAAAACTAACTAAGCACCTTGTTACTTGATTGTTACTTAATTTTAAACTCATATGGGCGTAAAATAGATGGTTATGAGGCATTGTGTTATGAGCATAATTTGACACTTTTTTTATTTCATAGTTTGAATATAAAGTTTATAATTAATGAATAATAATTTCACGACGATAAAGGATATGTTAACAATGAGTCGGTAAAAAAGATTCTTAGAATTAGGACAATATCTTAAAATATCATAAATCAATTAACTTAATAAGCACAATCGACATAAATCATTATATTTAGTTAATAAGTGAAAGTTGAACCTATGATTCAATAGATTGAAGTCAAAAATATTTCACTCATAAAATCACTATTGTGAACCAATTCAAGTAATTAAATCTTCTGTTAAAGTAACACTTTCTTTTGATATAATTTTTTAAATGTTTGTTATCTAGTATGTATACTATATTAATGGATTTATGTAGTTTTTTTAGTCACTCAATTTAATGTTGTCCATTATTTATTGATTTGTTCCTAATGCCTAAATTAGATTTACTGGGTTCAGTAGTCAGTTGCGTAGCAACATTTTGTGTAATCTATAGACAACAAAATTTTACAGTTGTCTACTATATATATATATATATATATATATATATATATATATATATATATATATATATCAACAGTTTCATAGTTTGCTAGTTTCTTCAACCAAATAATTAGTTTTTTCTAAATTCTGCTAATTTGATGAGACAATATTCCCGACAGAAATATTAACTATTATAGAAATGATTTCTATTTTTCAAAAAAAATCACATCTATCAGATATTTTAATTGCAAATATATTAATATTTATTTTGATAACAGATTGTATGACGTGGTTTGTCTTGAACAAATAGAAAAATGTCTATGATAGACGTATTTAGATATTGTTTGTCAACATATCAAATAATTCAACTTTCATATCCTTGACTGAGATATGATAGCATAGAAATTAGAATTTTGAACTTTTCAGACATGATATGTCTTGAAATTTCATTGACTCTTCTTCGGTAAACACACAGTCATAAATAAATTTGATTTTTGCTTTACACACTACTTGTTACTAAATTTTGTTTTTTTCTTCTAATTTCTATAAAGGTTACTGATAAACTTTTCAAGGAAGCTGCTTACATTAATCGTTCTTTGGCATTTCTAGAGCAAACAATTTTGGCGTTATCTGATTCAACAAGAGATTATGTACCATATCGACAATCAAAATTAACTCATTTTCTAAAAAATAGCATTGGAGGTCGTTGTCAAACTATTCTCATAGCTAATATATGGAATAAATATACATATCTAAATGAAACTGTACGCTTTTAGTTATTCTCCCTTAATACGTTCATACTTTTCTGATAAATCTTTATTGAGACTTATTACAACCCAAAAGAGCAAACGTGGAAATCTTCAGGTGGTGATATTAGTTCGATATCTTGAGGCACAGTGTTCGAATCTAAAAGTCCCAACTTTAAGTCTGTAATGTGCATTAATGTAGTCGACAAGCGCTTCTAGCTTTGATCTTGATACACTAGATATCAGGGTCATAAAACAAATAACTGAAAAATCAATGACCATTAATAAAATATTGTCTTATCGTTTTGTACATGGAAGGAGGCCACTTGTGTCGTCAAAAATATAAATTTGTAGACTAAAATGTGATAGTTATGTAAGTGCTCTTTTAAAAAACTCAACTTCACTGCTTTATTAGATAGCATTATTTTCATCCAATATCGTTGTTGATTTCACGTCTCAATGAAAGTTACACAAAATGCACTAAACCAATTTGGAGAAAACCTTGTTGGTTCAATTCGTCATTTTAGTAACTGGATTCGTTTTGGGCACTTGTTAAAAATGACAGAAATCGATAAATGCAGCTAGTTGTATTTTGTGAACAGCATATCTTAATGTATCTGTCTATACAAGAAATTTTAGAGTTTTAGCGAAAATTATTTGTCACAGTTTTGCTTTAATTGGAAATATATATATATATATATATATATATATATATATATATATATATATAACTGTTGATCATAATAATCGTTTTATTGATGAAAACTCCGTGCTAAGGATACATAAACTTCTGTTGTTCAACTGCATTGTATTGTCAGATAGTATACAGTGATTTGAACAAGATCAATTTTAATGCATTTTATTTGTAATTCTTTGTAGTTATCCACTTTACGATTTGCGAGTCGAGTTATGTCGATTCCAGGCAAACCTGAAATTAATCAAATGCATGATTCTATGGTATGTTTTAAATTGTTAACTTGAAAATACAGTTACTTCTCATATGTTTTGTAGTAACAAATAAAGTTACTGACAGATTTTTCCAGTTCGTTTAATAAATAAGTGTTTTTTTCATACAATCAGATGTTTGTTTAGTTACCAAGTTCCGAGATTATACATTCAAAAAACGGCTTTTTCAATACATAACACATTTGATTTTGGTAGAATTTTAGTATTTGAAGCCATCTTTCATCATCCGCTGACATTAACTGTGTAGTTACTGAGTACTCTCATGATCCCTCCTACTTAATAATATCGCTTGATTATAGAATCCATTAATAATGTGTTAGCCTTACGACAGTCGTACTAATAGATTTCGCCGAAACAACATAACAACTAATTATGGTGGAGTTTCCTTCTTTGAGCTTGATGTTTTGGTTGTGCAGCTTTCATTCTTCTTCTGAACAACATCATCAGCACAAACTCCACTAGTCATATGTAGAAAAACTCGAATACTTCACTTCTACCTGAACTTTGGGAGGATGATGTTGTTCAGACGAAGAATGAAAGCTCCACAACCAAAACATTCAGCTCAGAGAACGAAACTCCGCTACATTCATCCACATGAGCTACAAATTTTCCTCACCATCTCAATAACACTAATGGCCACCAGATGTCCTTAGTCTCATTAGCCCACACACATTCTTCCTTTTCACAATACCTGATCAGAACACGGGAAGATAAGATGAGTTACCTTCTTTTATTTTAACTCAAAAACTCAGTTGATAATATACATCACTTATAAGACCACAAAACACCATAAATATAAATCGAAATACGTACATAACTATGTGTTGCAAAACTGAGTGGCAGGTGTTTAATTGATAAGTACTAATTTATCAGTGATGAAATGCTTATCAAAACCTGATAAGTTCAATAAAAGCTTACAATCGGGATAGCATGATAGTATCTTGGCTGGAAAATACATAATAAAATCATGTCTAATCATTCACTTTGTTTTCATTTCGTTCACTTATTCCCCATTTCGATCACAGACCAGTGAAGACCGAACATGCACTTACTTTCATGATATCTGTGTTTTGTTTCCCGTATGCTGAGCGTGAACTATACTTTCTCGTTCGTAATAGGCGGTTACGGATAACTTTTAATGCTGAAAATGAAATCTTTTGATGAAAATTACATTCCGATAAACAACACCTACGTACCAAGTATAGAAAGAAACATAGTTGCAAGTTTTGCATAAGATGCGCCTATTGAACACTGAAAACGTTAAGGATAATCTAACCAAGTAAATTAGCGTAAATCTTTCGCCAAACGTCGCTGAAACTCATTTTTGTTAGACTGATTTATTTTCATGAATCATGCCTTCGTTTCGTTCTCTGAACTAGATGGTTCGATCGTGAAGCTTTCATTATTCTTCTGAATAATATCATCAGCACGTCAATTGGATCACCAGAAATAATGCTGTAGGGACGGGAAGTGTTGATTAAACCAGTGATTACTCTAAAAATTTGGGTTTGTTATGTGGACGACACACTCGTCATCATCAAAAAAGACGAGCTGGAAAACACCTACAATACCATCTTTGATGACATAAAATTCACAACGTAAAAGGACTCGAATAACAAATTATCATTCTAGGATTTATTTATAACCAGAAGTGATACAGAAAAACAGAAGATTCAAGTATATCAGAAACTCACCTACAAAGATCCAATGCTCTACTACACTATGAGCAATCCAGGAACTCATAAAATCAAGTGAGTATAAACTTTGTTCAAAAGGGTCATTACACGTGCAGAGCGTAAGAAAAAATATCTAATGACTATCCTTCAAAAGAACTGCTAATTCGGTATTTCATCAAAATATATCACCCAGCTCATTTAAAGAAAGGGAATCAGATATGGAGCCCAACAAATGGATAATCCTATTGTACATAAAATACATCAGAAATTACAGTGAAATTACTGAAGCCGTTTGGTATAACCATAACATACAACATGCAAAATCTTATTTTAATCAAAGGATGAAGTGACAAGAGAAGAAAAACTGACGATCATCTGTTCAAAGTGTGGAAAACAATACATTGGATATGGTAGATCCCACCTTTATCTTCACTTTATGAACACCAATTAGTGGTCAAACATCATGACGTATCTTCGTATATGACAACTGTGGACACGTTCAACTAGAAAAATATTGAAATCTTGGATAGAGGAATTTCCGGAAACATAGCATTCAGGTAAATCAGCAATCAATAAACACATGGCAATGGATCCAGTTTATCGACCAAGAGTCAGATCAATTAGAATACCGAGGGAGATAACGATAATTTAATGGTCGACAGCTGTCAACACATATCAAGATCAATAGGACCAGCTAAGAGTTATATGTCGAGAAATTCGAACAATTCACTTCTACCCAAAGTTTATACTAATGATGTTGTTCAAAAGAACAATCAAAGCTTCACGACCAAATCATCCAGCTCAGAGGACAAAACTCCATGACATATATTTACTTGGTGGATGATTTCGTGAACAACTTTGAGATACTGTTAAATAGAATGTAAGCGTGCAGCAGACATTATTAATGTTTATACAGTTAGACAAGCAATATGTTAATTGAACACTGAGAGCAGTAAGAATCAATCAAAACAAAGAGACGCATTGTATTCACGCTGTCATGATAGAGAGTTGGTTAGGATTACTAAATTTCAAAATCTTATTGGTAGACTGACCTTAATAAAATAATCTATGTAACAAAGGAACTACTTCGTCATAGTATGATACATCTCAGTGATGGTGATTCACGACTCTACCAAGAAGAATCAAACCCAGGACCATCAGGTCTCTGTACATACATTTAACTCTTAGAGAATTTAGCCAGTACTCAATAAGTAGTTAAGATGTTAAGCTTCAGTGATTCCCCAATATTGCGCAACAGTTTTTTAATGCAACTGGTAGTTGTCTGCTTCACACTTGAGATTGTTAAGTAATTGTCTAACCAAAATCAGCCTGTTTTGTGAACTACTCCTACTACAAATGCCTTTGTAAAATTTAACAATATGTATACTTTCTGTTTATGAAAATTGTTAACAGGCCATCATAAAGAAATTGAAAAATTCCAATGCTAATCTACTGCGAGAATTACTTATGTATGATACATTGGTAAGCTCTGCATTTTTGTCTCATAAAAAGAGATATTCACTTGGAATAAAATAAATGTTTTACTATAACTATACAGAATGCATTGCTTAGTATAGATATAGAATAAGAGTAATACATTTTATTCAATTGGTACTTCATATCTACTTCTAAATGATATTTATTTTCACAATCTGATGATATAATTTTCGGCATACTTTGTGTGTGGTCATAGTTATCTTTTAAAAATGGAATTCGATTCGTTTAATTTAACAATGAGGTTTACATTACTTTGCATTAAGGGGTTGTGAAGATTGTTAAGTTACACATTTTTGAAACCATGAATCGATCAATGTTAGAGAACCATTAGAAACCTGGAAGCACTGGACGGCCGTTTCGTCCTGGTATGGGACTCCTCAGCAGTGCGCATCCACGACTCCTGCACCACGCAGGACTCGAACCCAGGACCTTCAGTATTGTGAGCGAACGCCCTAACCGTTAGACCACTGAGCCAGTGTCCAGCGGCTTGACTTTTCTCTACAGTCTGTGGGTATGTAAAGGCTATTCATTTTATCGTAAATAAACAATGTAAATTAGAATAGGTAATGCAATACTTGAAACTATGGTTGACTGATTGAATATAGAGTACTTTGGCTATTCTGAGCCACAGCTCCACTGTAAAATGCATTAGTGATTTATAAAAACCTGTAATGTTTCTCTTCCTTTCAACACTGTTTTTAATTTATTAGGAAATTAGAATAATCTTCTCAGTGAGTGTGGATTTTACGGAAATGATGAAATTAGTAGCAGGGGTGGATAGTGGCTAGCAGTGAAATCCAGGAGGAGAGTTTCGTCGTATCTGGGACTCATCAGCTTAATGTATGTGCATCTCATTGTTGATGTTTACTTACTTAAAGGTCCTTAGATGCAGGTAAATCCATTTGATGAGTCCCAGATAAGGTGAAACGCGCGTCCTGGATTCCACTACTAGCCGCTATCCATTTCTACCAGGATGCACATATGCTATAGAGACTGATCGATTGCAGTCTCAACACATCTATGGGAAAATTCAAGAAACCAGTTCAAATGAATCTTTATTGCAGTTATCATCGTGGCTTCTTTTAAGTTTTAGAGATTCAAAATACATTCTGATAAAGGACAAGTTCGTAGTTGAAGTAAATATACATGTACCGTTTATGTCATCCATTGAAAAATAATTTAAAAGCATTATATCACAGCGAACTAACTCAATGATGCCTAAGTCTTGGATAATGACGGTTACGAGTGTAAATTGAAATATAGTCAGATTGATGAGCGAAAGAATACAAAACCCTTATAATCAATCATATTTCTGTAAAGTCTTTTAAACAAGATTTCGAATAATGAATATTACTAATGCATTAGCTTGTATTTTGATTTATAAGTGTTTGAAAGTATGAGTAGTTCAGCGTAACGCAGGCCACCTTGCCGGACAAAAATCACTTTCATGATCAAATTTAGAGCAAAAATGAAATACAATTTACACTAATACATGCATTGCACATTCGTCTAATAAAAGGAAGCATGGTCGAAAGTGTAGAATGACGAGCTGTTTTGAGTGTAGGATTACGTTGGAAGAAAGCTAGGGGTGGCCAAACCAAAACATGGCACAACCCCATGATTTCAATGACAAGTGGACTGAGTCATGTCGGTAGATGTAGGCTACCTGGTTGGGGTCCGCGAGATGAAAGTCATCAATGGTTAGAGACATGGCTCAGAATCGTTTGCAATGGCGCAGGTGCATCCAGTCTTTGTGTTCTCTCAAAATCTAACCTTCAGAATCCCTCATCATCTCTAACTTTCTCCTTCTAAATTTATCTTACTGAATTATACTTCTTGACTAATATTTTCGAACCCCAATCTACTCCATTACCATCGATAGCACTAAGTGATTTGAACTGACAGTTGCGTCTCTGTGCTAATGCGGTATGGCAACCTTAAGTGATGTACGCATGTACGAAGTTCTGCGTTGCATCTGTCTGTTTGTCTGAGTATAGAACGGTGAAACTTTTGCCTTCGGCTGTGGACTCTGGCTACTTCCAGGCGAGGCTCCGCTGCATACTACTGATAAACAACCTCGTAAATAACATCCACCAAGTCAGGATTCATATTATGTCATATATTTAGTTTTGCTAATATAGAATGTGATCCTTTATTACTATCACCGAAACTTAATACCACTACTCATCCAATATTTATTCAATTACCTAACAATTCACCAAGGAACTAATCATTATGAGCATATATAATTTCTATTTACTAACGTTTTTTCCATTATGTGATCTAAGAACAGTCTATGTTAAAAAAACATTTTACATCATAAACAATTAGAAAATATATGAAAACGGAACAGCTGTTTTATTTTAGTTTTTTAACTTTCTAACAAGCGCATATATATGTAATCTTATGCTAATTGTATTTCTCAATTGTTAACTTTACTTACTTTGTATTAGAAAAACTATTTTTTCCTAAAGAAATTATTTACTATTTTAAACTATTTAAAATTGTCAAATCAAGTTTTTTGTCTGCCTGATAGTTTTCAAAATTTGAAAATCCCATTCATTTTTAATTTTTAAAGAAATGAATTAAGTTAGCAAAATCATTGACACTTATGATTTTCTATAGAGTAATTCTATTTCAATTTTTAAGCCATCATTTTGCCGATACAATATGATGAGCGTTTTATAGTATGCAAATTCATTTGCCAAGAACACATTTAAAAACTTGAACTGCACTCGAAGTGCTTGGACTGGCGACACTATCTAGTTGCCTAAACCGAATTAAGTGGCATGGAGTTCAAACCTACAATTCTGTGACTGAGAATTAAGTGCCTTTATTATGGTGTACGCTACTTATGTTCACATAAGTAGTATATGATATCAAATAGAAATCAAACGTCTGACAGCAAAAGATCGAGAAGGAAAGAATGAGAACAGAAGGCAATTTGTAGGTAACGTAAAGTGAACTGAAGTCTGAACAGTCTAAATGAAAGAACACTGAAATCTGAAACAAATAAGGATTCGTTTGCAAACGATGATTCACGGGAAGGTTTTGTACATATGCTTAACAACTCTGTAGTATTCGCTTAAATATGTATGTTGATGGCCTCACCTGGGTTTTCGTGCACAACATTATTACCGAGTCACAACTCAAAGTAACCCTACACCATTAATTAAGCTAAAAATGAAAAAAACATCCTTAGATAAGACTAGTTAAAACTTTTGAATATATTTGTTTGTTCTTAGTAAAGAGTTTTTTTCCTGAATTACACTGAATATGAATTTAGTGATCATTGTTATATGTTGTACAGTATCAATTATTTTCATTCTGCACTGAAATCACCGCATTCACAGTAGTCAGACAGTATTGACATGATCAGTATGTAATTACATGGCCAACTTGTCATGGTCTTTGACATGATAGCATATTTTGTCATGATTACTGGAATTTTAAATCAAGTTTATCTTCGCATCGTTTTTGACTGTTCCCAATATTTCATATGATTTTGTTTGATCGGTATTTTTAATTCACTTTCACCTGTGAAGTTAATCGGTTTTTTTCCAATAAGTAGTAGATATTTATACGTGCACATGTATTTTTATTTCCGGCCCAAATAACGACATTCTATTATTCTCAATCATGTTCTCGGTTTCTTTGTACACACATGTGTCAGGGCACTGAATCTTTTCCATCTCAATAGCACCACACTCTAGACCTATACTGGTACTCAGAAGAGTCGTGAAGTTTGTAACATGCACGGACGAGACACTTGTCTCAACGTGCATTCACTCGTGTAAGAACCGGTGATTGTACATTTTTTGGGCCGGAAATAAAAATACTGTGCACGTATTAATTATTATCTACTACTTATTGGGAATGCTAATAACGTTGAGTATCTTCACCGAGGTGTAAGCTGTTAAACCTACCGATCAACCAAAATCATATTGAACTAATTGGTGGACGGAGGTCAAAAAACTGATGCGATATATTATTAACTTGATTTCAAATTCCAGTATGCATGACTTAAATTGCTAATCAATTCTGATGTCAAATAGTGACCCCTGATCAGAGTTGGCCATGGTAATTCACATCCTGTGTCTCATGTGTCCATCCTGTTATGCCCCCTTGTGATCTATCCTGTGAACTGGCTGGTGATTTCCAGTGCAGATGCAAATAATCTTGTGCGACTTTGACACTGTGTGTACAGACATATGTAGATCTCCCTGTACTTCACTCTACACATAAATTTCATCACTTCAGTTTGATAGTAGGTCTTGGGATTCAGTTGTAAATTTACAGCTAATACTAATAACCTTACTCTTTACTATATACGACAACAACAAATATATTCAATAATTTTATTTCCACTTAGTCATTAGGTGCTAAGGCCGTGTGTGTGTTTATCTTTTCACTTTTCTAAGCTTAATTCAATATCCTTTGGGTAGTGTATGGCGTTTCTAACCTCTTGCTGACTGTGGTGCTCGTTTTTCGCCATGTTAATTCAATGTGTTTGTGCACGAAAACCCAGGTGAGGCCATCAACATACATATTTAAGCGAATACTACAGAGTTGTTAGGTATATTTACAAAACCCTCCCGTGAATCATCATTTGCAAACGAATCCTTATTTGTTTCAGATTTCAGTGTTCTTTCATTTAGACTGTTCAGACTTCAGTTCACTTTACGTTACCTACAAATCGACTTCTGTTCTCATTCTTTCCTTCTCGATCTTTTGCTGTCAGACATTTGATTTCCATTTGATATCATATACTACTTATGTTCACATAAGTAGCGTACACCATAATAAAGGCACTTAATTCTCAGTCACAGAATTGTAGGTTTGAACTCCATGCCACTTAATTCGGTTTAGGCAACTAGATAGTGTCGCCAGTCCAAGCACTTCGAGTGCAGTTCAAGTTTTTAAATGTGTTCTTGGCAAATGAATTTGCATACTATAAAACGCTCATCATATTGTATCGGCAAAATGATGGCTTAAAAATTGAAATAGAATTACTCTATAGAAAATCATAAGTGTCAATGATTTTGCTAACTTAATTCATTTCTTTAAAAATTAAAAATGAATGGGATTTTCAAATTTTGAAAACTATCAGGCAGACAAAAAACTTGATTTGACAATTTTAAATAGTTTAAAATAGTAAATAATTTCTTTAGGAAAAAATAGTTTTTCTAATACAAAGTAAGTAAAGTTAACAATTGAGAAATACAATTAGCATAAGATTACATATATATGCGCTTGTTAGAAAGTTAAAAAACTAAAATAAAACAGCTGTTCCGTTTTCATATATTTTCTAATTGTTTATGATGTAAAATGTTTTTTTAACATAGACTGTTCTTAGATCACATAATGGAAAAAACGTTAGTAAATAGAAATTATATATGCTCATAATGATTAGTTCCTTGGTGAATTGTTAGGTAATTGAATAAATATTGGATGAGTAGTGGTATTAAGTTTCGGTGATAGTAATAAAGGATCACATTCTATATTAGCAAAACTAAATATATGACATAATATGAATCCTGACTTGGTGGATGTTATTTACGAGGTTGTTTATCAGTAGTATGCAGCGGAGCCTCGCCTGGAAGTAGCCAGAGTCCACAGCCGAAGGCAAAAGTTTCACCGTTCTATACTCAGACAAACAGACAGATGCAACGCAGAACTTCGTACATGCGTACATCACTTAAGGTTGCCATACCGCATTAGCACAGAGACGCAACTGTCAGTTCAAATCACTTAGTGCTATCGATGGTAATGGAGTAGATTGGGGTTCGAAAATATTAGTCAAGAAGTATAATTCAGTAAGATAAATTTAGAAGGAGAAAGTTAGAGATGATGAGGGATTCTGAAGGTTAGATTTTGAGAGAACACAAAGACTGGATGCACCTGCGCCATTGCAAACGATTCTGAGCCATGTCTCTAACCATTGATGACTTTCATCTCGCGGACCCCAACCAGGTAGCCTACATCTACCGACATGACTCAGTCCACTTGTCATTGAAATCATGGGGTTGTGCCATGTTTTGGTTTGGCCACCCCTAGCTTTCTTCCAACGTAATCCTACACTCAAAACAGCTCGTCATTCTACACTTTCGACCATGCTTCCTTTTATTAGACGAATGTGCAATGCATGTATTAGTGTAAATTGTATTTCATTTTTGCTCTAAATTTGATCATGAAAGTGATTTTTGTCCGGCAAGGTGGCCTGCGTTACGCTGAACTACTCATACTTTCAAACACTTATAAATCAAAATACAAGCTAATGCATTAGTAATATTCATTATTCGAAATCTTGTTTAAAAGACTTTACAGAAATATGATTGATTATAAGGGTTTTGTATTCTTTCGCTCATCAATCTGACTATATTTCAATTTACACTCGTAACCGTCATTATCCAAGACCTAGGCATCATTGAGTTAGTTCGCTGTGATATAATGCTTTTAAATTATTTTTCAATGGATGACATAAACGGTACATGTATATTTACTTCAACTACGAACTTGTCCTTTATCAGAATGTATTTTGAATCTCTAAAACTTAAAAGAAGCCACGATGATAACTGCAATAAAGATTCATTTGAACTGGTTTCTTGAATTTTCCCATAGATGTGTTGAGACTGCAATTGATCAGTCTTCTATAGCATATGTCGCATCCTGGTAGAAATGGATAGCAGCAGTAGTGGAATCCAGGACGCGCGTTTCACCTTATTCTGGGACTCATCAAATGGATTTTACCTGCATCTCAAGGACCTTTAGTAAATAAAACGAGTCACAATGAGATGCAACATACATTAAGCTGATGAGTCCCAGATAGGACGAAACTCTCCTCCTGGATTTCATTGCTAGCCACTATCCACCCCTGCTACTAATTTCATCATTTCCATAAAATTCACACTCACTGAGAAGATTATTCTAATTTCCTAATAAATTAATTGCAAACAGAGTTGAAAGGAAGATGATTTAAAACCCAAGAGAAACATTACAGGTTTTTATAAATCACTAATGCATTTTACAGTGGAGCTGTGGCTCAGAATAGCCAAAGTACTCTATATTCAATCAGTCAACCATAGTTTCAAGTATTGCATTACCTATTCTAATTTACATTGTTTATTGACGATAAAATGAATAGCCTTTAAATACCCACAGACTGTAGAGAAAAGTCAAGCCGCTGGACACTGGCTCAGTGGTCTAAAGGTTAGGGCGTTCGCTCACAATACTGAAGGTCCTGGGTTCGAGTCCTGCGTGGTGCAGGAGTCGTGGATGCGCACTGCTGAGGAGTCCCATAGCAGGACGAAACGGCCGTCCAGTGCTTCCAGGTTTCTAATGGTTCTCTAACATTGATCGATTCATGGTTTCAAAAATGTGTAACTTAACAATCTTCACAATCCCATAATGCAAAGTATGTAAACCTCATTGTTAAACTAAACGAATCGAATTCCATTTTTAAAAGATAACTATGACCACACATAAAGTATGCGGAAAATCATATCATCAGATTGTGAAAATAAATATTATTTGTAAGTAGATATGAAGTACCAATTGAATATAATGTATTACTCTTATTCTATATCTATACTAAGCAATGCATTCTGTATAGTTATAGTAAAACATTTATTTTATTCCAAGTGAATATCTATTTTTATGAGAAAAAAAAATGCAGAGCTTACCAATGTATCATACATAAGTAATTCTCGCAGTAGATTAGCATTGGAATTTTTCAATTTCTTTATGATGGCCTGTTAACAATTTTCATAAACAGAAAGTATACATATTGTTAAATTGTACAAAGGGCATTAGTAGTAAGAGTAGTTCACAAAACAGGCTGATTTTGGTTAGACAATTATTTAACAATCTCAAGTGTGAAGCAGACAACTACCAGTTGCATTAAAAAACTGTTGCGCAATATTGTGGACTAACTGAAGCTTAACATCTTAACTACTGGATACTGGCTAGATTCTCTAAGAGTTAAATTTATGTAGAGAGACCTGATGGTCCTGGGTTTGATTCTTGGTAGAGTCGTGAATCACAATCACTGAGATGTATCATACCATGACGAAGTAGTTCCTTTGTTACATAGATTATTTTAATAAGGTCAGTCTGCCAATAAGATTTTGAAATTTAGTAATCCTAACTCTCTATCATGAAAGCGTGAATAGAATGCGTTTCTTTGTTTTGATTGATTCTTACTGCTCTCAATGTTCAATTAACATATTGCTTGTCTAACTGTGTAAACATTATTAATGTCTGCTGCACGCTTACTTTCTATTTAACAGTATCTCAAAAATGTTCACGAAATCATCCACCAAGTAAATATGTGTCATGGAGTTTTGTCCTCTGAGCTGGATGATTTGGTCGTGAAGCTTTGATTGTTCTTTTGAACAACATCATTAGTATAAACTTTGGGTAGAAGTGAATTGTTCGAATTTCTCGACATATAACTCTTAGCTGGTCCTACTTATCTTGATATGTGTTGACAGCTGTCGGCCATTAAATTATCGTTATCTCCCTCGGTATTCTAATTGATCTGACTCTTGGTCGATAAACTGGATCCATTGCCATGTGTTTATTGATTGCTGATTTACCTGAATGCTATGTTTCCGGAAATTCCCTCTATCCAAGAGTTCAATACTTTTCTAGTTGAACGTGTCTACAGTTGTCATATACGAAGATACGTCATGATGTTTGACCACTAATTGGTGTTCATACAGTGAAGATAAAGGTGGGACCTACCATATCCCATGTATTATTTTCACACTTTGAACAGATGATCTTCAGTTTTTCATCTCTTGTCACTTCGTCTTTTGATTTACATAAGAATTTTTCATCCTGTATGTTATAGTTATTCCAAACGGCTTCAGTAATTTCACTGTAATTTCGGATGTATTTTATGTACAGTAGGATTATCCATTTGTTGGCTTCCATATCTGATTCTCTTTCTTTAAATGAGCTGGGTGATAAATATTTTGATGAAATAGCGCATTAGCAGTTCTTTTTAAGGATAGTCATTAGATATTTTTTCTGATGCTCTGCACGTGTAGTGACCCTTTTGAACAAAGTTTATACTTAGTTGATTTTATGAGTTCCTGGATTGCTCATAGTGTAGTAGAGAATTGGATCTGTGTAGGTGAGTTTCTGATATACTTGAATCTTCTGTTTTTCTGTATCATTTCTGGTTATAAATAAATCCTAGAATGATAATTTGTTATTCGAGTCCTTTTACGTTGTGAATTTTATGTCATCAAAGATGGTATTGTAGGTGTTTTCCAGATCGTCTTTTTTTATGATGACGAGTGTGTCGTCCACATAACAAACCCAAATTTTTAGAGTAATCACTGGTTAAATCAACAGTTCCCGTCCCTGCAGCATTATTTCTGGTGATCCGATTGACGTGCTGATGATATTATTCAGAAGAACAATGAAAGCTTCACGATCGAACCATCTAGTTCAGAGAACGAAACGAAGGCATGATTCATGAATATAAATCAGTCTAACAAAAATGAGTTTCAGCGACGTTTGGCGAAAGATTTACGCTAATTTACTTGGTTAGATTATCCTTAACGTTTTCAATGTTCAATAGGCGCATCTTATACAAAACTTGCAACTATGTTTCTTTCTATACTTGGTACATAGGTGTTGTTTATCGGAATGTAATTTTCATCAAAAGATTTCATTTTCAGCATTAAAAGTTATCCGTAACCGCCTTTTACGAACGAGAAAGTATAGTTCACGCTCAACATACGGGAAACAAAACACAGATATCGTGAAAGTGCATGTTCGGTCTTCACTGGTCTGTGATCGAAATGGGGAATAAGTGAACGCAATGAAAACAAGGTGAATGATTACACATGATTTTATTGTGTATTTTCCAGCCAAGATACTATCATGCTATCCCGATTGTAAGCTTTTATTGAACTTATCAGGTTTTGATAAGCATTTCATCACTGATAAATTAGTACTTATCAATTAAACACCTGCCACTCAGTTTTGCAACACATAGTTATGTACGTATTTTGAATTATATTTATGGTGTTTTGTGGTCTTATAAGTGATGTATATTATCAACTGAGTTTTTGAGTTAAAATAAAAGAAGGTAACTCATCTTATCTTCCCGTGTTCTGATCAGGTATTGTGAAAAGGAAGAATCTGTGTGGGCTAATGAGACTAAGGACATCTGGTGGCCATTAGTGTTATTGAGATGGTGAGGAAAATTTGTAGCTCATGTGGATGAATGTAGCGGAGTTTCGTTCTCCGAGCTGAATGTTTTGGTTGTGGAGCTTTCATTCTTCGTCTGAACAACATCATCCTCCCAAAATTCAGGTAGAAGTGAAGTATTCGAGTTTTTCTACATATGACTAGTGGAGTTTGTGCTGATGATGTTGTTCAGAAGAAGAATGAAAGCTGCACAACCAAAACATCAAGCTCAAAGAAGGAAACTCCACCATAATTAGTTGTTATGTTGTTTCGGCGAAATCTATTAGTACGACTGTCGTAAGGCTAACACATTATTAATGGATTCTATAATCAAGCGATATTATTAAGTAGGAGGGATCATGAGAGTAGTCAGTAACTACACAGTTAATGTCAGCGGATGATGAAAGATGGCTTCAAAATACTAAAATTCTACCAAAATCAAATGTGTTATGTATTGAAAAAGCCGTTTTTTGAATGTATAATCTCGGAACTTGGTAACTAAACAAACATCTGATTGTATGAAAAAAACACTTATTTATTAAACGAACTGGAAAAATCTGTCAGTAACTTTATTTGTGACTATAAAACATATGAGAAGTAACTGTATTTTCAAGTTAACAATTTAAAACATACCATAGAATCATGCATTTGATTAATTTCAGGTTTGCCTGGAATCGACATAACTCGACTCGCAAATCGTAAAGTGGATAACTACAAAGAATTACAAATAAAATGCATTAAAATTGATCTTGTTCAAATCATTATATGCTATCTGACAATACAAAGCAGTTGAACAACAGAAGTTTATGTATCCTTAGCACGGAGTTTTCAACAATAAAACGATTATTATGATCAATAAGAACTCATTTTGCTTCTTCTAAATTGACCCCAACAGTTACATATATATTTCCAATTAAAGAATAACTGTGACAAATAATTTTCGCTAAAACTCTAAAATTTGTTGTATAAATGGATACATTAAGACAGGTTATTCACAAAATACTACAACTAGCTGCATTTATCGATTTCTGTCATTTTTAACAAGTTCCCAAAACGAATCCAGTTATTCAAATAACGAATTGAACCAACTAAGTGATTTTCCAAATTGAAACGTGAAATCAGTAGCGATATTGGATGAAAATAATACTATCTAATAAAACATTGCAGAAGTTGAATTTTCAGAGAAGCACTAGCATAACTTTCACATTTTAGTCTACAAAGTTATATTTTTCGCGACACAAGTGGCCTCCTTCCATGTACAAAACGATTAGACAATATTTTATTAATGGTCACTGCTCTTTCAGTTCATTGTTTTATGACCATGTTTTCAAGGCCGTGGTAAATATATGCTCAAGGAGTGTTCATTTACATTCATCCGAATAGAGCTATCTTGTGTATCAGGATCAAAGCTAGAAGCGCTTGTCGACTACTCTATTACACATTACAGACTGCTATATCCGAACACTATGCCTCAAGATATCGAACTAATATCACCACCTGAAGATTTCCACGTTTGCTCTTTTGGGTTGTAGGTAAGTCTCAATAAAGATTTATCGGAAAAGTATGAACATATTAAGGGAGAATAACTAAAAGCGTACAGTTTCATTTAGATATGTATATTTATTCCATATATTAGCTATGAGAATAGTTTGACAACGACCTCCAATGCTATTTTTTAGAAAATGAGTTAATTTTGATTGTCGATATGGTACATAATCTCTTGTTGAATCAGATAACGCCAAAATTGTTTGCTCTAAAAATGCCAAAGAACGATTAATGTAAGCAGCTTCCTTGAAAAGTTTATCAGTAACCTTTATAGAAATTAGAAGAAAAAAAAACAAAATTTAGTAATAAGTAGTGTGTAAAGCAAAAATCAAATTTATTTATGATTGTGTGTTTACCGAAAAAGAGTCAATGAAATTTCAAGACATATCATGTCTGAAAAGTTCAAAATTCCAATTTCTATGCTATCATATCTCAGTCAAGGATATGAAAGTTGAATTATTTGATATGTTGACAAACAATATCTAAATACGTCTATCATAGACATTTTTCTATTTGTTCAAGACAAACCACGTCATACAATCTGTTATCAAAATAAATATTAATATATTTGCAATTAAAATATCTGATAGATGTGATTTTTTTTGAAAAATAGAAATCATTTCTATAATAGTTAATATTTCTGTCGGGAATATTGTCTCATCAAATTAGCAGAATTTAGAAAAACTAATTATTTGGTTGAAGAAACTAGCAAACTATGAAACTGTTGATATATATATATATATATATATATATATATATATATATATATATATATATAGTAGACAACTGTAAAATTTTGTTGTCTATAGATTACACAAAATGTTGCTACGCAACTGACTACTGAACCCAGTAAATCTAATTTAGGCATTAGGAACAAATCAATAAATAATGGACAACATTAAATTGAGTGACTAAAAAAACTACATAAATCCATTAATATAGTATACATACTAGATAATAAACATTTAAAAAATTTTATCAAAAGAAAGTGTTACTTTAACAGAAGATTTAATTACTTGAATTGGTTCATAATAGTGATGAGTGAAATATTTTTGACTTCAATCTTTTGAATCATAGGTTCAACTTTCACTTATTAACTAAATATAATGATTTATGTCGATTGTGCTTATTAAGTTGATTGATTTATGATATTTTAAGATATTGTCCTAATTGTAAGAATCTATTCGACCCACTCATTGTTAACATATCCTTTATCGTCGTGAAATTATTATTCATTAATTATAAACTTTATATTCAAACTTTGAAATAAAAAAAGTGTCAAATTATGCTCATAACACAATGCCTCATAACCATCTATTTTACGCCCATATGAGTTTAAAATTAAGTAACAATCAAGTAACAAGGTGCTTAGTTAGTTTTCCAACGTGTCTTGATGAATCAAGCACATAAAGTGTACAGAAGCTGAGTCACAGAACTCATTTAATAAGCTATAAACAATAAATCCTAACAATTATTACTAGACCTCTTATAAATAATTGTGTAATACAGGAAGTAGCACATAAATCCATATTTGATTATTAAGCTATAATATAAGTGAAATTCTTATGAATATCTGAAAGTCCGAATCGGGAAAGTTGGATGATCGGTTAGCAACGTTACCTCGCAGTAAACAAAATGCTTAACCAGAAAAAATCGCTATAACTGTTTAAAATCTCCTCTGGAAGTTGAAGGGTTTTCGTTCAGAAGAATATGATGCCAAACAGTGAAAACCATTTTTTTTTCGGAAGCCAAGAGATTGATACCTTCTTCTGACAATTAGAACAACAATGGGTATATGTACATAGAATGTCCGCGGAATGTGAAAGATCGGGATGACCATTCAGGTAGCGTGGAATTGAGAAGATACAAACTAGGAGTATTTGAAGTGACCAAGACCCTTTGGAAGTAAGTTGGACAGAAAAAAATATCTTTGGATAAGTTATTGTTGTATTCTGATCAGGAAGAACAAAATGCCCCGTACACGCAAGAAGTTGCACTAATGCTGTCCAAACTAGCTCTCAAATCACTTATAGAGAGGGAATCTCATGGACCCAGGATCAAAACAAAGAATCAAAAGGTTAAAACAGATATCACTTGGTGCTATGCGCCCAACAGTAATAAAAGAGGAGATTATAAAGATCTGCCCTATGAGAAGCTATAGTGAATGGTAGATAAATGTCAAGGAAGCAGTTTAACCACCCTGATGGGAGATCTGGATGCCAAAGTTGAAATGTATAACACCGGATATGAATCATAGAATATCATAGGATGACATGGACTAGGGGAAAGGAATGCAAATAATGAGACTGGTTAATTTATGCGTTTTCGACAATCTACTAATAGGCAGCATGCTTTTTCCTTACGAGCGTATACTAAAAGCTAAATCAGTTTTACATTGCAGAAAGCTAGGCCAATCATATCTTTATCAGCATAAGGTTCAGAAGGTCCGTAGAAGATGTAAGAACAAAGAGAAGTTCTGACTTAGCTTCAGATCCCTGCCTGGTGATAAGCCGAGATGGAACTGAAGTTAAAGAAGTACTGGCCGACTGAGCAAGCAATATTACAAAAAGTTTAATACAGTCTTACTCCAAGATTTGAACAAGCTCAGTGAAATCAAAAAAGGTCTTTAGTAACAAGTTATGAGCCTTACAACTGTGACGGATATGAAAACCATGGAGTATAACAGGCCTAAGTACGTAAATATGAATTTCACCACCATAAAATGCAGAGGTCATGTCAATAAAACTTATCGTGGTTATACACTTACAACACCATTATAACGTCGTCTTAAGAAGAATTTACCCGTGAAAGAATGAACCAGGCTTTATTAAAATCATCTGCTGAGTAATCCACAACGATCATTCATGGTTTCTATATTAGTCGTTCTAGTAACCAAACAAAACTATTAGCTAAAGGCGGTATTTATAATTGTCGCAATCTTTGTAAACTCTTTTAAGTGTATTTTTTAAATGATGTTGATGTTTGTATTTTAAAACCGTTGAACAACATAAATATCTAAATTCACGTGACAAACAAATACTTCTACTTCCTGTTATTCGGAGTCTTTGGAATGTATATTCAACTCTGAATAAACGAATTATTTTAACATTCAGCCAATAAATATTTTGGTATAAATTTATGAATAAGTCTATTTTCTCTTGTAGTGTGTTGGGTAACCGACAAAATTGATGAAATAGTTACATAAGTCATATTTTGTGTTTGTACTCTAAACTACTGAATTATCAACAGTATTACTGCTCTCTCTCTGTACCTAATTTTACAAGCTAAACAGTTGTGAAACTTCATTTAACGTTTTATTTACATAATAAAACCGAAATTTAATACACACACACACATAAATGAATACGGTATGAGACCTGTGTTTCCTTCGAACTGTCTGACCCGGCTAAATCCACATAGTGAATTTTACTGTATTTGGTACATCGATCACTGTCCATTGGATCAATAATCGTCAGATAGATTGTGAATACAGCATGAGCACGTGATGAGAAACGATTTAAGGAGTGTGATGCAACAGTACGATTCAATTCTCCCTGTAAATAAAAAATGATGATACTCAACGAAAGTTGAAATGAACATTTTAATTCAACATACTAAAAGAGATTATAAATAAGCAAAGGAGAAATTTCTCTATAACCACAAACACAAGGATTATTTATGTTTACTACAAAAAACACATAATTCAGCAGATAAAATCTATCACGTAAACAGTGATAATTTTGAGAATAAACAATTGTCTTTCTCAATGTAAACTCATCAATATTTTCTTTTTCTTAACAAATGACAGTAAATTATGCCGTTTTTATATTCAGTTTCAAAATAGTTATCTGTACTAGACAAACCATCCAGTCATGTAGGCAATGCAGAACGTGGTATTGACTGTAGTGAGTATAATGGACTTGGTGTGAAAAGTGTGCTAAGATTGCAAATAATCGGTTTATCTTGTATTCAATAATTTGGATGTTTGATTGTATTTCCTTGAGAAAGCTTGGACCAGATTGCCAGGCGTAACGGTAGATCCACTTAAAATTCAATCGCTGAAACTTACAAATATAATTTTTCGCTTTAATGTCGTACACACTATTTCGGCACCCAACTAATGTAAAAACTATACAGTCGAACTTAGATGAAAATTTTTATGATTAGAATACACTCAAGAAAATATTCAGTGAGGAATTGCAGCCTCAATTATTTCTATAGTTTGAAAATGATCTTGATTACACATTAGTATGAATTGGGAAAAATTATGAAATGATTGTGGTTGAGTACCCACTGAAGAAAATGGATGTGAGATGCGTAATACTGTCAACTCATTGAAGTTAAATATGTACAGCATTAGACGATTGATCAGTTGTCGAGAAGTTAAGTGTCCGTTCACGAGACAGAATGTCATAGGTTCGATTCTTCAATTCGGGATCACGGATGTGCACTAATGAAGAATCCCGTAGTAGAACGAAACGGCTATCCCATACTTCTACTTTTTCAATGGTGATCTACCTAAGATTAGCTCTTGATTTAAAAAATATGGAAATATTTCTTTGTGGTATATGTTTTGTTAATTTTGCATTTCGATTATTAATGATACTTTTTCGTCTTCTAAAATTAGTTTATGATGGAAATTATATTCCTCAAGTGTAGAGAAATATACACAATTATGTTTAAAATAATATTTACATTATTATTTATTGAATATCAATATTTAACAAACATTGAAAAAGTCTAACTGCATACTAAAAATGTAATGTTAAATAGTATACACACTTTTTATAATGATACGTATATATCAAATAGAATAACTCATTTTAACTATTAATTTATTGCTTATGTTAATTTCTGGTGCATTCTCTTTCTATAAAGTATTATGGTATGCAAAATATAATTGACAAGAACACCATTTAATAAGGTAGTTCAATAAATAAATTGATCGGTCTGCTAAATGAACGCAAGATCTGAATTCACTAACCGCTTCTAATAATCACAGACTAAATCTATACTGCAACTTAAACATAAGAGAAAAGGTGCGAATAGCAATATCAGCGCTTTATTCCAAGGTTAGTTTATGTACAGAAAGATCAGGGTATTTGTATTGTTACTCGTGACCTTGGTCTTCTGAAAGATTTGAATCCCCTGATTGTATTATTACTTCACTCACACTATCTGACATAAATTTATTCTGACCATTGATGTCACAATTTTATTTAATGTATAAACTTATTTAACTTTCATCTCAACATTAACAATTTCATTTTATTTCACAAATAATCGTAACTTCCCGTAGACTTTAATTTGAAACGATCTATTTTGCCTGAAACCTGGCCAATTTTCGCATTATTAATTTTGGATATATAATTGGTAGAAGCCGATGAGAATATATAGAAAAGAATATTCTTCACTTATATGATCGATCCTAAAATTTTCTGATGTAAGTGAGAAAAAGATCAATTATTTAGCGTTAAAAATAAACTAGTCACTACAAAGTAACAATGTCCAACTGACTGTTTTAAGAAATTCATTATTTAGATCAAAGTGAGAAATATTCCAAGTTTCGGCACACATCATATTTCCTATGAACTTCATATCCAAGAAGTACTAAACATCAATAATTTCGATTGTAACTACAGCCATTACAGAAATAATCATAATAGATATTCATTAACTTAACGAAAAAATTTCACAAACTGCAATTTAAATATTATTATGACACGAAATACAAGCTCCCAAGCTATATCATTTTCATTTTCAGTTATGAGAAGTGTTTGTAGTTTTAAGAAAATAAAGGATTAGACGATGCTTAGTAAAAATACTTACCTCGAACAATATAGTTAATGCTTTTTCTAAATTATTCACAGTTAAACAATTTAATCCTTTAACATAAACTTGATCATTTGATTCAGCAATTTGTAGAGAATCAAAAGAAGGTTGTTGAAGTGTTGTTGTTTTGTTCGATGATATGTTAGTTAATAAATCAATAATTTGTTCATTGTATATTTCAATATAAGACAGCCTAAAGCAAAAATAAGATAAGCTTGTTAAACTGAATGAAAAACTTCATAACATTTCAATTTTAAGTGTAAAAATATGCTATAATTTTTATTTAAGTGGTTTATAAGTATTCATCAAGAAATCTATTGATGAAGATCTTCTTTACACTTTGAATCTGAATGGTGAAAATATTTAAGAAAACCGGTGTATATATATATATATATTACAAATGCTTTGTGTAGGGTATTTAACTTATAAATGATATTCTTCGCGTATGGATATTGATCATGGGACTGTCAAAAACCGGGAGGCGCCAGACCGTTGTTGCATACTAATAGCAAACTCTTCAGCATTAAGCACTCGTCGTTAAAAACCATCAAATCAGGTGGTTAGCCCATCATCATTAGATCATTGAGTCGGCTTCCGATGGTAGATTTTCAGCATTGACCAACTTACAATTTAGTACGAGGATCCAGTTGTACTATCCTCTCACACTTGGAATGGACAATCTTTACTCACCACACCTTACTAGAACTTTAAATCAAAGCAATTCGCTGGTAAATACTCGACTATAGTTTTTTTTGAAAGGCTCTGTAGAGTTCAGTCTAACTGATGGCAGGTGAAGCCAATGAAGTTGAAA